ACCAAAAAAAAAAAAAAAAGAGTAATTCTAATTAAGAGTCCAAACTAAAACTCATGTACTAATTCATTTTCTAGTGCTTGGACCACATATGCTCCATGGAACGCATATGCTCCATCAGAAACAGGGAGGCTCAAAAGCTAGCTTTGAAAAAGCTCTGAAGCCAGCTTATGCCTATAATCCTGGCTATTCAAGAGGTTGAGACGTGGACGATGACAAGATGAAGCCAGCCTGACTAGACAATTTCCAGAGCAAAAAGCCAGGTTGGAGGCATGGCTTTAGTGGTAGAGTACCAATCATGAGCTAGAAGCTGAACGGGCTGGAGGGCCTGAGTTCAAGACTCCATACTCTCCGCCGCCCACTTAAAAAAAAAAAATAGCTCTTAAGCCAGGCGTCCTAACTACTAAGATGAGAATCTTTGGATCAAAGCCAACTCATGCAGAAAAAGTCTTCAAGACCCATCTCTAACCAGCAAAAAGCTGGAAGCGAAGCTGTGGCTCAAGTGATAGAGCACAAAGCTTGAGCTTGAAAAAGCTAAGTAAGAAACACTGCGTAGGCCCTGAGTTCAAGCACTTATACTGGTATGCACATGCATGCATGCATGCATGCATGCGCACACACACACAGAGGCTCACAAGCTTTGGAACACGTCACTCAATAGAATCACATAACAACAGCAAGTCAGTTTTTCGGGCAATCAGTATTGCAACTCCACAGAGGATGGCAGGGTGAGGTGAGGTGGTCAAGAAACGATGCGCAAAGGTCTTCACAGATGTGAACCAGGTCAGTGTTGCTCAGAAAAGCAAGAAAAACCACAGAAAAGCCACATCAGGAGAGAAGCCAAACGGGAGAGAGTACCAGGTCGCGGGCCCCAGGCGACGTGAGGGAGGACGGAAGGGAGTCGGGGTGACTCGGGGCGCGGAAGGGGCGGCCCCTCCGGCTGCAGGAAGCCCAGGATCCTCACCCAGGCCCCAAGTGGAGAGGGAGTGGGGGGGGCCGCGGGCCCCAATCCGGAAGGACGAGAGTCCGGGACCGGAGGTGTGGCTGGGACGGCCGAGCACGCGCCGAGGAGTCGGGGAGGCCGGACTGAGAGGACCCGGGAGCCCGGGCCGGGTCCGGACCCTGCTGTGGGGGAAAGCCGACCCGAGCGACGCCTACTGAAGGAGATGCTCGAACCGGCCTCTTACCTCGGCTTCGATCTCCGCGATCTTTGCTAAAGTCCCGCTCATGGTGACAAGTACACGGGGCGGCAACAGCGGCTCCCACCAGGGTGATGATGTCTGCCCACCTCACACGCCAGCCGGCGGGGTCCGGAGACTCACCACCAGGCGCCGCCGCCGCCGCAGTGCGCAGGCGCAGGGTTTTCTAACCCTCGCGAGGGTGTTACGAGAGGCTCGCGGCGAGACTTTACAGCCAAGGGCAGTCTCTTGCCTTCTCCGCTGACCCCTCCCTGTCTCGCGAGTCAATGCGGTGTCATAGAGCCCGCGGGAGCGGGAGGGCCAGAGAGGCCGCCTGGGTCCGGCCTCCCCAGCGCCAGTCAGGGCGGTGTCATAGAGCCCGCGGGAGCAGGAGGCCAGAGAGTCCAGCCGCTCGAGCGCGCCGAGGGTCGCGCGCAGCTCGGCCCCGCCCCGCCCGCCCGGCGCCCCACGCCAGGCCGCCTGGCTCCGCTCTGGGCCGCACGTAGCGAGCTCCTTGGTGCCCGATTCCCTCCCGCACCACCACCACCACCATCCCAGGCCTAGGGCGGCGGTGGGAAATGCGCTCCCGTGCCCGCACCCTCTGAGATCTCCCTTTTTTTAATTTACAGCTGAGAAAAAAAACCCATCCTGCACTCACGTAGAGATAGATCTTCAGCCCGTCTCCTCTTGGAAAACGAACATGCCACCACTCGCAAAATAACTTTGTTTCCTTTTACCCGGAACCCCGAATAGATTATGCTACGATGAATGCATGGATGAATGGCTACGATGAATGCATGGATGAATGAGTAATTATCCACAGAGACCAGTATTTGCAACATCTTGTACTGAGAGAGATGGAACCTGTGTTCACTGTCCTTAGTAAGGAAATTGGATAGATAATATCGCTTCTGCCCTGTAAACTAGAAACGAGTGTCTGGGACCTGACTACATCCTCCTCCTTTAAATGGACAGTTTTCTACGGTACCTGCACCTGCCTAGTGACTGCACTGATGTTTTGTTTTACAAGTGCATTTATCAAGGTATAGGTGTTTGAAAGTGCATCGGGATTGTTTTTGTTTACTTCCTTGTTTTGTCATCCAGGGGATGAAAACCCAAACCTGGGGTTTTGCACGTACTAAACAAACACTCTACTCCTTGGCTTACAGCTCCAAACTAGAAAGTACATTGTCGGGTGCTCTAAACAGAATTCACACCAAAGCTAGGCTGAGTCAGGAAAATCATTTGAGCCCATTAATTGAAAACAGGATGGAGCTATAGTGAGATTCTGTCAAAATAAAAAATAAAAAAAGCCAGGTGCCCAATGGCTGAGGCCTCTAATCCTAACTACTCAGGAGGCTGAGATTGACTGATGGCTGTTCCAAGCCAGCCTGGGTAAGAAACTCTGTGAGACTTTGTGTGTGTGTGGTGTGGGTGTGGGTGTGCACCGGTCCTGGCCTTGAACTCAGGGCTTGAGTGCTGTCCCTGAAGAGCTTCTTTTTGTTCAAGGCTGATGTTCTACTTCTTAAACTATAGCTCTACTTATGGCTTTTTTTTTCTTTTTGATAGTTTAATAAAAATAAGATTCTCACAGACTTTATTTGCCCAAGCTGGTGTTGAACCATGATCCTCAAATCTCAGCCTCCTAAGTGGCTAGGACTACAGATGTGAGCCACAGGTGCCTGGCTCATGAAACTTGTATCACTAATAAATTACCAAAAAGCCAGAAGTGGAGCTGTGGCTCAAATGGTAGAACACTAACCTTAAGCAGATGAAGCTCAGGGACAGTACCCTGAACAAGCTCCAGGACTGACACATACACATACTATTACAACCCTAGGGGCTAGGAAGGTGGCTCAGTGGTAGAGCGCTTGCCTTATATGCATGAGGCCCTGGGTTCGATTCCTCAGTACCACATAAGCAAAACCAGAAAAAAGCCAGAAGTGGCGCTGTGGCTCAAGTGGTAGAGCCCTAGCCTTGAGCTGAAGAGCTGAGGGACAGCGCCCAGGCCCACATTTCAGGCCCCACAAGTGGACCCCCCCAAAAAAAAGCCAAAAACACAATTACAACCCTAGTGGGACAAGATGAAAAGAAAGAGGGAGAAGTCCTTTCACTTTTTGCTTGTTTCAGTATTTATTTTTATGAGGTGAATTTATTCACATATTACTTATCTAATAATAAATTTGTTTAATTTCAAAAGATACCTTTTCCCTACGTGTCTTATGGCAAGGGAAGCCAGCAAGCCCAGGAACTATGTACTGGTTTTGAAAGCTGCTAGCTTCAACATCAATGAGTTCTTGTTGGTAGATTGATTAATCCATCAGGAGTGGCCAGGCCAGGCTTCATCCCCAGAGCTGGTCTCCACCCAAAGCTGGGAAGGAAGTTTATTTAAATTTGTAAATAAAAAAGCTTCCAACTGGCCAGAAACCGAAAAGGGAGGTTGTATTGAGCTTAAAGGAGGGGAAAGGGAAAGGAAAGCTTTTAGAGAGTCCCCAAAGGGCCCAAGAGTTTTCTTCTTTCTTTAACCTCAGCCTTTTCATAAATAAATTAAGGCATAATGAGGTAATTAGATCCTGCGCCATTAGTAATGGAGGAGGAAAGAAGAGGAGGGGGAGTCTACCTGGAACCTGGATGTGATCAAAGATCAGTCTTAGAAGACAGATAAAATCAAATCAACAGTTCTTTCCTAACTTGGAGTGCTTAAGGAATTAATTGGCTGACAACTTCAAGACATCACTGCTCTGAAAGCAGCCTCTTCTTAACAAATCTGTCCCTATGAAGTCTGTAGCTAAAGTAACAACTTTTACTGTTCAAAGATAACCCAGGATCCACAAACTATCACTAGTGTGCCAAAAAGTAATATTCATTCCCAACCACCATTGGATGGTCATCCCTATTTATTTACTGAGATCTGATGGTGCCTGGTACTTTGACAGGGCTGGGGGCAAAGCAGTGAATCACATACTGTCCCTATGGTTAAGAAACACCCATGTAGAAGAATCCATATCCTGAGGCCAAGGCCAGGCCTTTAAATTTTACTCTTAGCTTGCTTCCTTGTGAGCTATTTTTCCAGTCTCACAGTTTTTCTACTGAAAGAAAGTTCTTATATATTCAGAACATTCTTGCTCTATTTGTTTTTGTTTTGCCAGTCATGGTGCCTGAACCTCAGCTCTTCAGCTCAAGGCTAGTGTTCTACCACTTGAGCCACAGTACCACTTCCAGTTTTTTCTGCTTATGTGGTGCTGAGGAATTGAACCCAGGGCCTCATGCATGCAAGGCAAGCACTCTACCACTGAGCCACTTTCCCAGCCCCTCTTGCTCTATTTGTTACAGGCTTATAAAATACTTTCTTCACAATTCATCTTTCTTACTGTGTTTTTACATAGAATTCTTAATATTACTTAAAGCTTTCAACTTTAAAAACAAAAGACAATCCAGATGTCTTCTCAGTATCCCAACTGGACCAGGGAGGGGATAAAGTTCTAGTGCCTTAGCACTCTAGTCTTTTTTGTGTATATGTCATGTATGTCAGTACTGGAGCTTGAATTCAAGGCTTGGGTGCCGTCCCTGAGCTTTTTTGCTCAAGGTTAGCACTCTACCACTTGAGCCACAGCTTCTTCTGACTTTTTGATGGTTATTTGGAAATGAATCTCATGAAATTTCCTACCTGAGCTGACTTTGAACTTCCATTCTCAGATCTCAGCCTCCTTAGTAGTTAGGATTACAGGTATGAGCACCAGCACCTGGCTAACACTTCAGTCTTAAAAAGGAAAGATAGGCAAGCGTCCTGTCTACCTTCGAGACTAATTTTTTTTCTTTTCCTGCTAGTCCTGGGGCTTGTCCTTGACCTTTTCTCGCTCAAGGGTAGCATTCTACCACTTGAGCCACAGCTCCACTTCCACCTTTTTGCTGGTTAACTAGAAATAAGAGTCTCAAAGACTTTCCTGCCCAAACTGAGCACTAGTTCAAGTGTCCAGGACCTGAGTTCAAGCCCCAGTACCAGCACACACATGATTTAAAAAAAGAAAGTGATGAGCAAAGGGAAAAGATTGAGTAAGCCACAGATCTTTACAGGTAAGACAGAGTGGATAGAATATGTAGATATCAAGACATGGAATTAGGGTTTGGGTTTTAAATCAGTGATAAGGCATGCTTCAATGTTCACCACAGTGAAGAGAAAGAAAGAGGAGGAAAGGAGAAGGTAAGGAGGGAAGGGAAGGGGAAAACAGAGAAGAGGAAGGGAAGATTAGAAGGAGGCTCAAGTGGGGTACATCCCTTTGCCTAGCAAGTTTGAGACCCAAAGTTGAAATCCTAGTACTGTGCCTCCCCCCTCCAAAAAAAAAAAATCACAATTATTTTTTGTAGCATCTCTACCACTGTAGCAAACACAAAATAACTATTCATGTAAAAACTATCACACGCAAATTGTGTAAATTCAATAATTCCACATGAGTTACATTCTCTTATATTTCCACTTAAAACCAGCACTGAACAATATGCATAAACATGAATGGCAAAAATTATGCTAATAAATTATTGCTTTTTGTTGTTGTTGTTGTTCAGCATGACATTAAAAATAGCAAATAAAAAATGCTATGACAGGCCAGGAAGGTGGCTCAGTTGGTAGAGTGCTTGCCTTGTATGCATGAGGCCTTGGGTTTGATTCCTCAGCACCACATAAGCAGGAAAAAAAAAATGCTATGACAAGTCCAGAAAGAGACCACAAAAGAAATATGTTATTTTCCACACTTTGTCCCCTGACTTTTTTTTTTGGGGGGGGGTCCGGTCGTGGGGCCTGAACTCTGGGCCTGGGCGCTGTTCCTCAGTTCTTCAGCTCAAGGATAGCGCTCTACCACTTGAGCCACAGCACCACTTACGGCTTTTTTTTTTGGGGTCCGGTCGTGGGGCCTGAACTCTAGGCCTGGGTGCTGTCCCTCAGCTCTTCAGCTCAAGGCTAGCGTTCTACCACTTGAGCTACAGTGCCACTTCCGGCTTTTTTTTTTCCTTTTTTGCTTATGTGGTGCTGAGGAATCGAATCCAGGGCCTCAGGC